TATTGGCTTGACAGTGTTTTTTTAAAGGGGGAATTTGATGTTGCTAAAAAGAACATTATTTTGTGACTGTATTTATTATATACAATATTAATTATTGTTTTTCCTCTATGCCCCGCCTTTCTGAAACACCTCGATTTTTACAAAGCTCATCGGTCTGAAAAGCGAGGTGTGCTCTGATTGGTCAGCTATCCAGTGCGTTGTGATTGGCCGAATACCTCAAGCATGTGACGGAAATGTTGCGTCCCTTACCATATTGTAATGCCCTGTCTGGCGGGAGCCACGAGACAAAAACATTAAAACCCATTATAAAAAACAAGGCATTTGTTGCATCCAGTGGGGACATAATTACGGATTATAATGACTTATACTGTCTTTTTATGCATTCCTTTCTTCAGCTAGCTACTTTAATGACTGAAATTTAAAAAATTATAATTTTAAATTCCGCAAAACTTTGAACAACTTTTCTACATTTGTGTAAACTCATCCATAATCAAAACATTATTTCACTAAAAAGGTAACTTCTGTTTTTTATAAAACCACCGAACTTAATGTGATAATCAAACATTATTCATATTCAAACATATTCAACCATTCATGCCTTCTGTCCCCAGTGCACTAACGATAATACAGTTGTATAGATTTTCCTGAAATTCAGCATATTTTTTGACAGAAAGTACAAACAATACTATCCAAATTAAACATTAATCTTAAAAATTCAAGATATTTTGAAAAATGTATCAGTGTTTGTATCATGAAAGTCAATATGAGAGACAATATGAGAGACAATAAATTAATTTTAATTTTTGGGTGAACGATCCCTTTAAACTGTAATGCTCCAGTTACATAAACTCAGTTCCCTTTCGAAGGGTCTCTCTCATTGCATTGAACACTATGGGGTAAACTCCTGTTTACTCTGATACTGAAGCCTGATTTGTTCACGTTCACGTAGCTGCACAAACAAATGGAGCTTCAAAACCGCCAAAAGGGGAGGAGCCAACTGATATATAAGTCTGCTCTGAGCGCCATTTCGTCAGAATCTTTCGACTGATAGTGACAGTCATCGACTCGCATGCAGCCTTATAGCACAGCAACCTACACAACGCTCGTTCCCTTTTCTCAAGGAACAAAGGTTACGTTCGTAGATGGAGCGTTCCCTTTCAACTGTCTCTCCTGTTGCGTTGAACGCTATGGGGAATGCATCCAATAGCGCTGTGCTATAAGCAAGTGCAGAACAAAGCTGCCCTGCGAGCCCAGCCCTGGAGCACCTGTACTGAGGGCTCCAACTAGCATGAGCTAATATGAGCCCCAAGCCACTAGGCTGGGGACTACAAAACAGGACCTTCTCCACTCGTAGAGGTGATTAGGTAATTTATGCAGACGAAAACCGTGCCAGGAGGGCAGGGACATCCAAATTATAAAGCCTGGTGAAAGTGGATGGCAACAACCAGCTAGCGGCCGCACAGATATCACCAATAGAAATCCTGCTGGACCAAGCCCAGGAAGAGGCCATTCCACTAGTGGAGTGGGCCTTTACTCCTATAGGACACTGTAAGCCCACATAGGCAAAAGCCAGGGCTATAGCGTCCATTATGCAGTGAGATAGCCTCTGCTTCGTAACCGGCAGCCCTTTAGAGCGACCTCCGAAGCATATGAAACAGGCCACAGCGCTCCACATACACTCCAAGAGCCCGGACTGGGTAGAGTGGATTGGGACCCTGCTCATCCTCTGAATTGGGAAGAGCCAGAAGGGTAATGATTTGTGCTCTCAACGGAGTGGAGAGCATAGGCACATAGCCGTGTCTTGGTTTGAGGACGACTCTACAGTCGTTAGGCCCAAACTCAAGACAGGAAGCACTGACTGAAAGTGCATGCAGGTCACCCACTTGCTTGACCAATACTAAAGTCAAAAGGAGGGCAGTCATAAGTGACAGGGGTCGCAAATTGGCCGAATGGAAAGGCTCGAAAGGAGGGCCCCATAGGGCCCTGAGGACTAAGGATAAGTCCCAGGTCGGCACAGTAAGAGAACGAGGCAGATTCAATCTCCAAGCTCCCCTCAGAAACCTAATTCTTGCCGACTGACTGGCTGCCACATATACTTTGAGCGTGGAAGGGGTGCGCCCCCTATCCAGCAACTTTTGCAGGAAGGTTAACACGGATGACATGTTACAAGAAGACGGGTCCTCATTCCGTGCTGCACACCAGTCAGAAAAGGGCCATTTAAGGGTGTAGATCTTGTAGCCTCCAAAAGAGCCGGCGTGAGATAACTCGAGCCCGATCATTGAGTCCCATTGCCCCGCTGTTTTTTCCTCTGAGGCTCTTGGGAGGGAAGAAACGAGAGAGCAGACTGGGGAGACTTCTTTGTGAAAGAAGGTGATCCGCAAGCGAAGCAGGGCGAGACTCATTCTCTCGCAGTGAGAGCACTCTGTCCCGGTAAGCGCTGCCCAGGCAAGCGACCCGTGCTCATCTGAGTCATGCAGGGGTTCCCTGCATGAGCCACACACGCGGCGCGACATTTGCAACAACGCTGCTGGAAATTTGCAGGAAATTTGCTCTTATTGTCGCCAGATGGCCGCAGGGGAAGCACTTGTTGGTAGGCGTTCTTCCACTGCTGGGGCTTTTCTACAGCAAGCAGGCTTCAAGCTTCTTGCTTCGGCTTCAGAGTCCAGCGGGGAAATAATCTTGGCGCTGAAGGAGAAATATTCTGATGAAACGGCAGCAGAGAGCTGACTTATATAGCAGTTGGCTCCTCCCCTTTTGGCGGGTTGAAGCACCATTTGTTCGTGCAGCTACATGAATGTGAAGAAATCAGGCTTCAGTATTTAGAGTAAACACAAGTTTACCCCATAGTGTTCAACGCAATCAAGGGAGAGACCCTTTTAAAGGGAACCAGAATATATTCTATGTTGCAAATGCTTCGATTGTAATAATAATTGTACACAGAATAATTTTCATGAATTACTAATGATTACAATATGCGTGCATTTTTTAAGGGTTAGGGCTTTTTGTATCCTAAGGCTAATTTCTGAGAAAAATACTGAATGGTCAAATATTAAGGTCAGCCATAACAATGCCACCTCATAAAATTTGTACTATTAAAAAAAAACAAAAAAACATAATGTGTCAAATAGCAATACAGACTCGTCTTGGGTAAAAATTTCAGAACTGGTGATTTTATTGCGAACTATATTTAATCATCATGTATTTGCATGCATGTCTGTCATCTGCAGACAGCGGGGAGGAAGCGTGTACGCGCACATACGGGAACTCTCGTCTCCCTCACGGCGCAGTTCACGTGCGCTAGTCCTTTCTTGGTTGCGCGGCGAGAAGTCACGGCGCGGATGGACAGGCAGAGTCAATAAAACAGCCTCGACTATCTGAAAACTGCCTGCTAGCAAGCCATAACAATGCCAGCCTATTTTCAGAGACCGGAGAACGCTCTTAAGCGAGCAAACGGTGAGTGAATATTGTAGGTGGTCGTCTCTTGGACTGTTAGCCGTGAGTTTAGCTGTTAGCTCTATATGGCGCGTGCTGGAGTAGCCATGTTCCGTGCTGGCCGGATGTCACAGTTGCTGGGCCCGTGTGCCATGTATGATGTAGCGTTTTAAATCTCCTTTATTACTGTATCATATATTATTCATATTCTTAGTGTACTCAGAGAAAGGACATGGTTATTAAGTGTAAATATTTTGCACACTTAGTAAATGAACAAAGGTAGAGACCGTTTTTGTTAATGCTACCATGTGTGTTAGCAAGCTTTTCCATTCCGCTAGCTTAGCAGTGACAACTTCTGGTGTCGGAGGTTAAAGGTTTATTAACCGTATACACTGAAAAAAATCCTTAAAGCTATAACAGTCTTTCATATTCGTGAATGAGAACCAAATATGTTGTCATTTGGACAAAATTTTAAACAAAATGTGAGTGGAATAGCAGCTTTGCGCACCTGCCACCAGATTTATTTTCTCTGCTCATTCAATATTATAGTCAGCTGTAAATAACATTTCTGGTATCGGAGGTTAAAGGTTTATTAACCGTATACACTGAAAAAAATCCTTAAAGCTATAACAGTCTTCCTTATTCGTGAATGAGAACCAAATATGTTGTCATTTGGACAAAATTTTAAACAAAATGTGAGTGGAATAGCAGCTTTGCGCACCTGCCACCAGATTTATTTTCTCTGCTCATTCAATATTATAGTCAGCTGTAAATAACATTTGTGATGAAAGTGGTATTTGAGGGCTGTATGATGCATAAATACTGCAGCAAGATCATGAAACATTTTTCAGTGATTCAGGCCCATCTGGATGCTGTATATGTCAAAAATCAACAAATTCTTAGAGTGTGCTGGCCATGACAGTCTTTCTGTTTCTTTTTTCAGAGTTTCTTGAAGTTGGTAAAAAGCAGCCAGCTTTGGATGTGCTCTACGATGTCATCAAGAGCAAAAAACATCGAACATGGCAGAAGATACACGAGCCTATCATGCTCAAATACTTGGAGCTCTGTGTGGACCTGCGCAAGAGCCACTTGGCAAAGGAGGGACTGTATCAGTACAAAAACATCTGTCAACAGGTTTGAGACCATAATTATTATATACTTGAGCAGAAAAATAGAACTTTTCGAGTCTGCATGAAAATCATCTATTTCCTAAATGCACGTTATAGATCTTATGAATACGTTTTTTTTTTGTTATTAATTGATTTTTTTTTTTTTTCAATGTTTTGACTTTGTAGTGTTTAATCAAAATGTCATAAAACAACAGACTTCTCTCTGCAGACGTTTGCAGGACTTCTCTAATCTTTTAGTCCACTTAAAGTTTGTGTTCTTCTGGCTCCACTTTTGAGTGCAATGCCCACATCTCCAAATCCAATCAACAACTGATGAATAGAAAACAAACACCCTATATTTTTTATTTTTCAGAACTCAGGTGAACGTCACAATATGGAAGAAAAAATCTTTTGCTACTTCTGTTTCATGGCACCTTTAAAGTTTAGTAATTTGTGTCATAGTGCATTTAGTAGTGATATTGCAATGATGATGTTTTTATTGTAGAGTTTACATAAATTTTCTGTACAGGCGAAAAAACGACAAGTCAATTGTAAGTTCTATCCTCAGGAAATTACTGACTGCTCCTCCGCTTGTGCTTCAGGTGAATATCAAATCTCTGGAGGATGTGGTCCGTGCTTACCTGAAACTTGCAGAGGAGAAGACTGAGACAGCGAAAGAGGAGTCTCAGCAGATGGTGCTGGACATTGAGGATCTGGACAACATTCAGACCCCAGAAAGGTACAGGATCCTAAAGGCTCTAACAGTTCTTTCCAACTGATGTGTCTAAAGTAAATGTTTTTTTTTGTTATTATTAGTGTAATTAATTTATATTTCATTTCAATTCATTTATCATTTCAGAATTTCACTACATTACGCTAAATGCAGACAGGGAATGGTTCTATATCAATATGATTGTGTTCCGTAAAAGATTATCTGAAGCGCTGACTGTTGTTGTTGTTTTTTTTTCTTCCCCTATGTTTTTCAGTGTTCTGTTGAGTGCCGTCAGTGGTGAAGACACTCAAGACCGCACTGACAGACTTCTGCTGACGCCTTGGGTAAAGTTCTTGTGGGAGTCGTACCGCCAGTGCCTGGACCTGCTAAGGAATAACTCCAAAGTGGAGCGCCTTTACCATGACATTGCTCAGCAAGGTCAGTGTAAAGCCCATATAACACAAAAACATTTGCTTGTGGGAGTTTTAGCATATGGTACAGATAAGGGTTTACAGTGCCTTGCGAAAGTATTCATACCCCATTCATTTTTTCACATTTTGTTATGTTGCTGCCTTATGTTAAACTGCTTTAAATTACTTTTTTTTTTCTCCACATCAATCTACGCTCCATACACCATACTGACAAAGCAAAAACAGAATTGTCACAACTTCGTAAATTTATTAAAAATAAAAAACTGAAATAAGTACATTGCATAAGTATTCAACTAAATATTTAAGCACCTTTACAGTCTCAAGTCTTTTTTGTTTGATGCGACAAGCTTTGATCATCATCATTTGGCAATTATCTGCCATTCTTTTCCTCACCTCTTCACCTCTCAAGTAGTGTTGCTTTCGTCAACGAAAATTATGACTAAATATCGTCGTCAACGAACCTTTATTACGTGACGAAAACGAGACGAAAATGCTGGTCATGTGACGATGACTATAATTAAATGTATAATGCAATATCGTTGACGAATAAAAACGAGACTAAATGTGGTTTACAAAATAAAAACTATGCTAAAATGTCTCTTCATTTTCGTTGACCAAAACGAGACGAAACGAAATGTTATAACGTTATTTCGTCTCGTAGATTGAGTCTGGCCACTCCGACATAAAGCCCAGATCGGTGGAGTGTTGCAGTGATATTTGTCCTTCTATAGATTTCTCCCATCTGCATATATGATCATGGAGCTCAACTAGAGTGACCATCATGTTCTTGGTCACCACTCTAACCAAGACCCTTCTCTATCAATTGCTCAGTTTGGCAAGGAGACCAGCTCGAGGAAGAGTCCTGGTTGTTTCAAACTTCTTCCATTAAGGGTAACAGAGACTACATGCTTCTGTGACCCTTTGAAGCAGATTTTTTTTCTGAAATCTTCCCCAGATGTGTGGCTTGACACAAACCTGTTTCTGAGCTCTACAGGCAGTTCTTTTGACCTCAGGGCTTGGTTTTTGCTCTGATATGCATTAAAAAGCTTTGTTCGTGTTCGGAACACAATTTAAGATATTTTGGATGAAAACCGGGAGGCTTGTGACTGTCCCATAGACTGCCAAGTAAATTACACTGTCAAATTCCAGAAAAGTATGAAAAGCATCGTCAGAATAGTCCATCTGCCATCAGTGGTTCAACCGTAACGTTATGAAGCAACGAGAATATGGAATCATTTAAGTTTTTTATTTTTAATAAATTTGCTAAGATGTTAAAAACCTGTTTTTTGCTTTACCATTATGGTGTATGGAGTGTAGATTGATGTGGGGAAAAAAGTAATTTAAAGCAGTTTAGCATAAGGCAGCAACTTAAAATGTGAAAAAAATGAAGGTGTATAAATATTTTCGCAAGGCACTGTATGTGTAGAATTATGGAACATGGACCTGTAGAATAGGTAGAGCATTGTATTATATATGGTAATCATGTTATATGATACCTAAAATGTATATTCTTTTGTGCACAAATTTATAACAAAAATATTCTCTCACAGCGTTTAAGTTTTGCCTGCAGTACACCCGTAAAGCAGAGTTCCGTAAGCTGTGTGACAACCTGCGAATGCATCTGGGACAGATTCAACGACATCACAACCAGAGCACTGCCATTAACCTGAACAATCCCGAGAGCCAGTCCATGCATCTTGAGACACGTCTGGTCCAGCTGGACAGCGCTATTAGCATGGAGCTGTGGCAGGTGTCTGTTCTTCATACTTGGCACCAATATACAAAAGACTATATAAATGTTTATAATCTAATATAAATATATTCAGTTGAGTATAGTCTTGATTTTTGCTGCTGCTGTCAACCTTTTTACAGTGCAAAGGAGTGCTTTACATGCAAACAAAGAACAAACTATTGATTACAGAAAAAGATAAATAAAATGCAATTAGATGGGTTTCATTTGTGAGAAAAAATTGACATCCTGCCCTTTTGCACTATACACTTAATGGTTCTTCGGTGTTGCACAAACTTTAATGACTTGCTGATTATACCGGTTGCTTACGTTCTTTGTAATCAACACAGGAAGCATTCAAAGCAGTTGAAGACATCCATGGATTGTTTGCCCTCTCAAAGAAGCCCCCTAAACCCCAACTTATGGCCAATTACTACAATAAGGTGTCCACTGTATTCTGGAAGTCTGGCAATGCCTTATTCCATGCCTGCACCCTACACAGACTTTATCACCTCTCCCGGGAAATGCGCAAGAACCTTACCCCAGAAGAGATGCAGAGGTGAGCATTAAATAAGAGCAGTCATCAGCTTGAACAAGGTTTTTTTTTTTTTTTTAATGCTTTGTATTGTAATTTTGCTGTAATTGTACTGTAGGTAGCCATTTCTTGAAATCAGAAAACTTTTCTTCATTATTTATTAGTTGATTGAGACTTGCTTCGAAGTATCAATTGCTGTGTGTTTTATTCGTTTCATTCAGAATGTCCACTCGAGTGCTTTTGGCCACTTTGTCTATTCCCATCACTCCTGAGCGTACTGATATCGCTCGTCTGTTGGACATGGATGGCATCATTGTAGAGAAACAACGCAGACTGGCTACTTTGCTTGGCCTTCAGTCTCCACCCACCCGCCAGAGTCTCATCAATGACATGGTAATATCTTTTCTGTCCATTGATCATTTTTGTAATCCCTTAAATTTATGGTTTATTGAAAATAGATTGAGAACCTTCTTGGGTATTACTTTTGTCTTAGGTGAGATTCAACCTGCTTCAGTATGTTGTTCCTGAAGTCAAAGAGCTCTACAATTGGTTGGAGGTGGACTTCCACCCTCTAAAACTTTGTGGAAGAGTGACTAAAGTGAGCGGTACATTAGAATTATATTATGTGACTTATGTCTATTCCAGTCAGTGTTTTTTTTTTCTGAACTTATAAGAATCATGTACATATCCACAGTAAAATAAAAGAAACATTTGCACATGCTAAACAAACTCTTTTAATCTTTTAAGCTACTGACTTTCATAAACTTAATTGTTAAGAAGTGATGTACTTGTTAGACTATTTTGACACAGCAGTCTTCAATGTTATAGTGTTCTTGATGTCAACACACACTAAATACATATTTATGCAGTGTATGTGTTCTTGCTGCTGCTGCTGCTTTAGGTGCTGAACTGGGTGAGGGACCAAGTTGAGAAAGAATCAGACCTGCAGCATTATGTTCCTCACTTGCAGAACAACACCATCCTCAGACTGCTACAACAGGTTGATTTGATCATCTTCCCCCAGACGTTTAATAATTACTTGGAGAATCTGTGCATGCTTCATTCTTCTGCAGATCTTCAAATCTTGTCTTCTGGGGTTTCATATTCCAGGTGGCTCAGATCTACCAGAGCATTGAGTTCAGCAGGTTAGCATCTCTGGTACCATTTGTCGATGCTTTCCAACTGGAGCGCTCAATTGTAGATGCAGCACGGCACTGTGACCTACAGGTATAGCAAAATAAAAAATTAGTCATCAAATGTTAGTGTATATCTTCCACACGTAGTCTCTAAGGGGGCTTTTACACTGGGCACGTTTGCTGCGGTTTGAGCCCGGGCACTATTGTTCCTGGTGCCCCCCGCCATGTTGGTCTGGTTTCACACTAAACTTGATTCTATCGAACTCTGGTGTGTTTGCATTATCTTACGTCCTTAAACAGGAGGCCAAAGAGCGAGAAAAGGAGCGCATCATGCAAGAACACGAGCAAATCAAAAAGAAGACAGTGCGTGAGCGACTGGAGCAGATCAAGAAGACTGAGCTGGGAGCCAAGGCCTTTAAAGACATTGATATTGAGGTACTGAGTTTGTTAGGGAAGTGGCCATTTAGAACACACCAATTTAAGTTACCCAGAAAATGAAATGTCGACTGTTTTCAGTTGAAAATGTTTTTTATTTAATTGTTAATTTTATGTTGTAGGATCTGGAAGAGCTGGACCCTGACTTCATCATGGCCAAACAGGTAGAACAACTAGAAAAAGAGAAGAAAGAACTTCAGGAGCGTCTGAAAAACCAGGAAAAGAAGGTATAGCTTACATGACACATTCATGAAGTATTTTGTTATTGTAAATAATTAAGTTGGTAACTGTTTTAAATAGGGCTGTGTATCACCAGCAAAGTCACGATACGATACGTATCACGATACAGAGGCCACGATACGTATCACGATACATGACTGCACTGAATTTCACCTCAGCAGAATTTAGAAAAACAGCTGTTTATTAAACACTATAGTGCCATTTCTAACTATTGGCAGAGGTCTAATATAGTAAAAAAATCATTTACATTGCTGGTAGTTTATCATTGCACAAATTAACACTCTCTACAATTAAAAAAAATAAAATTTGAAGAGTTCAAAACTAACGCGCTGTCTTCACTGTATCTAACGCACACACGCTCTGTATCGATATTTTAAACATAGCACTAGTTTTAAAAGTAAGAGGATTAGGGTTAATTCTGTGCAGCTGAGTAGATGATATCCGAATATTACACTGGAGTGATACTATTATGCATATTCCAGATCGACTACTTTGAGAGAGCCAAGCGCCTTGAGGAGATTCCCCTGATCAAGAAAGCCTATGAGGAGCAGCGCATCAAAGACATGGAGTTATGGGAGCTGCAGGAGGAAGAGAGGGTAATAATCACATACTGCTTTTTGCACTTGTCAGAATTACATGTGATTTACTTTGCCCTCTGGTCCATGTTTAAATTTTTTGCTAAAAAAAAAAGTCTCAAATCCCCCACGTACTTGAACATACTTTCACTTGAACTGTAGTTTGAAATATTTCTTCAGGCCCTACTTGGTCATTGTCTGGTTTTAGTTTGATTCAGCGATTTATTAGTATCACCTAAATGAGAAGGACATGTTGAAAAATATAATCATGCCATGTTGTTTATTGTAATTGAAGCTAAAGGTTGTTGTGCCTATCTGTTGCTCAGATCAGCAATATGAAGATGGAGCGTGAGAAGGCGCTGGAACACAAACAGAGAATGTCAAGGATGATGGAGGACAAGGAGAACTTCCTGTCCAAAATTAAAGCTGCTCGAAGCTTCATTTATGAGGTAATCAAAACTTTAATTTCAAGTGTAATTTATTAGGTTAATGTTTTACAGATTATGAATTTGCTTTCAGTAGTTAGTATAAACATTGTATAAGATGAAGTTTTAGTAGTAGCATAAAGTCCTTGACGGTTAGGATGTTGATGCTCCAGGTAGCTAAGCTTTGAACAATTCTCATGTACCCAGGAAAAACTCAAGCAGTTCCAAGAACGTTTGGTTGAGGAGAGGAAGAAGCGTCTTGAGGAGCGAAAGAAGCAGCGTAAGGAGGACAGACGAAATGCCTTCTATCGCCAGAAAGAAGAGGAAGCTCAGAGAATCCATGAGGAACAGCTCAAGAAAGGTATTTATTTGCTGTTCATCAACCTCAGTTAACAGTTGATGCATTTTACATTCTTAAAAATAATCATATCTTATTTGATGTATGAACTTTTGCTCACCTCTTTTCATTTTTGATTTGGTCCTTGGTTTTGTGTGTTTTAGAGCGGGAAGAGCGTGAACGCTTGGAACAGGAGCAAAGAGAGGAGGAAGAACGCGAATACCAGGAGCGCTTGCGTAAGCTGGAGGAACAGGAGAGAAAGCAGCGTGCCCGTCAACAGGAAATTGAGGAGCGTGAACGCCGCAAGGAGGAGGAAAGGAAGGCACCAGAAGAAAAACCCACCAAGGTAACTCATTAGAACCCTGTGTCAAATGTGTTATACACTAGACACTACCGTTGAATAAAAAGTTTAAAAGAACAGTATTTGTTTGAAATAGAAATCTTTTTTTTTTTTGATCAATTTAATGAACTCTTGGTGAAGAGTATTAATTTCTTTTAAAAAAAATGTAATGTATACTTCTATTTTTAACAAGATATAAAATGGATATAGTTATTTCTTGGTTTAAATTTGAATAATTTTCTTTCCAGGACTGGGGTGAACGGGAAGAAGGAGGCTGGAGGAAGCGAGGTGAGGGTGATTCAGAATGGCGACGTCCTGTTGCTGACCGGTGAGTTTTCAGATTAATTGATAACCTGATGCACAAGGAAAAAGATTAAAAACAGATGCAGAGAATTGCGATTTCATTTTATCTTTTTTTTTTTTTCCCTCCCAGTGAATGGCGTCAAGAGGAGCGTGAAGGCCATGAAGACAATGATCGAGAAGACCGTGACCGTGAAGTGCCCTTCCGAAGAGGAGGAGAAAGTTCTCGTCGTGGTGGTTCAGATGACAGAGGACTCCGCCGTGGTTTTGATGACGAACGAGGTCCGCGCCGAGGAGGTGACGATGACCGTGGACCTAAACGGGGCTTTGATGATGACCGTGGTCCCAGGAGGGGCTTTGATGATGACCGAGGACCCCGAAGAGGCGATGACGACCGTGGGCCAAGGCGTGGAATGGATGACGACCGTGGCCCAAGAAGAGGCTTTGATGACGACCGTGGGCCCCGTAGAAGCATGGATGAACCCAGAGGGCCTCGACGTGGGGCAGATGATGACTGGGGCCCCAGAAGAGGAGGGGATGATGAGAGGGGAGGCCGCAGGGGTATGGATGACTCTGGCCCACGTCGTGGAGATGACCCTAAACCCTGGAAACCACTTGGGAGACCAGGTGTGAGCTCAGATGGTAGTTACATTTCTTTTCTTGCTGAGGGCATGTTGACAACTTATGTGTGTTAAAGGGGTCATATCACAAGGAATCTAATTTTCCTGTCACGATGCAATGTGATGCAATCATCTGTAATTGAAACATGGGACAGTTTAAACCCACAGCTTGTTATTAAGTGCAGCATTTCATTGGTTTTAAAGGTATAGCAGCAAAATAAAACCAAAAGTAAAATAAAATGTTATTCTAGAGGTCAGAGGAAGGATGAGTTTAGTTGCTGCAAATCATTCATTAATATAAGTGGACCCTTTTTTTTTTTTTAAATGACCCCTTTATATTGTATTTAATCAGTGAAAAGTTGTTTTTTGTTAACTATAGTCAGTTCAGTTGTGGATTTTCAATAATAAACTCATTTGCAGGACTTTTTTTTTTACTTATGCAATTACTCCATGTAACCTTTTGTAGGTGGATGGAGAGAGCGAGAGAAGGCTCGGGAAGAAAGCTGGGGACCTCCTCGTGATACTGGCCATGATGATGGTGAGCCTGAGGGAGATGACCGTCACGAGGGAGATCGATTTAGAGATCGACGCCCTCCCAGGTAAAAATAAATAAATAAAACCACTTTTTTTTTTTTTTTTGTACAATTTACTCTTGTACGGAAAACTATAATTATAATTTTTAGTGGTGGGGATGGAAAAATAAAAGTTTCTTCTAAAGGCTTTTCTGTTTTGAATTCTACTGATGAAGGGTATCAGCAGGTCCTTTTTCTTTAGATTTAAATGATTTAAGAAAAGTCTATAATTATCATTTTTAGGAGTGAGGATGGAAAAACAGGAATCGCCATAAGGCCTAATGTGATTATTAAACTTCAAAAGGATATGACATGTGAGCGCTTAATGTTTCAAAGTAAAAACGTGGCACTGTTGCATATTGTTCAGGCTTGTGGTTTCAAAGCTGTTAACAGACAAAAAATGCTGCACATTTATGCCATGTAATTGCTTATGTACTTCTGATGAATTATAGCAATGTTTACATGTTTACATGTGTTTAGATCGTAATCTGTTGTAGATGGTTATGAGTGCATGTTTGCTTCTTTTTGAATGAGCATCTGAAAGTAGTAAAGAATAGATATGCATAAAATCTTTTTTTGCCCTGATTTGGTATTTTGGTTACAAATTATAATAAAACATTTTTTTTTTTTTTAAACTGATTCTGTTTTGCTTAGCAGTGTTAAGTCCTAATGTGCTAAGTTTAATGTGAATGTGTGTGCATGTTCAGGGAAGAAGGGGGTGGCTGGAGAAGAGGTGGTGCTGAGGAGCAGAGCAGTTGGCGTGACTCTCGCCGTGAAGAATTTGACCGTGATGATCGTCGTGAACGCCGTGACATGAGGGACCGCAGAGATGACCGTGATAACAGAGGCCCCCAGAGAGACCCTAATGAAGGTTAGTCTTATGATCTGCCTAAAGCACTTGTACGAAACTAAATCACAAGAAGTGCATCTAACAGAACAAGCTAACTCAAGTGGCAACTACAAATGCATGATACCACAGCAGTGCAAAATGCCTCCAAAACTTAGCCATGCTGCTGCAACATTTAATTGCCACAAAGTCTGAAAATTGCAATTGAATCCAATAACTTCCAGGTTATTGATATTTTTTTATTTCAAACAAAACAGGATAAGCAGTTCTGGTTTAAAGTAGCAGCAGTAAATAAAAATAGGGCAGACTTCATGCATCCATGACAGTAGGTGTCAATATAAAGTCCAAGACCCCGTGACAAAGCTGAGCCAGTGAAATATGCTTGGGGTACCTTTTAAAAGGTCAGTTTCTTACATCTTAATTCCTAACTCAAAGGTGGTTCATGGCGTCGTGGTGGCGATGAGCGCAAGGACGAAAGAGAAGCTCCTCCCAGACCACATGACCGGGACCGTGATGGCGGTGAGAAGAGCACCTGGCGCTCTGACAAAGATAAGGAAAATCTGCGCCGGACCAAGAACGAGACGGATGATGATGGCTGGACCACTGTCCGCCGCTAATTCTAAAGCATCAAAATTTTTCCGCTTGATGATGTACTAAGCCTTGATGTGTTCTCTAATTAGTACAGGTCACTGCTTACATTAACGTGAAATACAAGCTTTGCCATAAAATTACAACACTTGCAATGGGTTTTCAAACATGGCAATTTATATTTCATCCCTTTTTAAAAACTTACATTTGAAAAGTATCTCATTCCTTTTTGTTATGCATGCTTAGAGGATTCAATTGGTCACACAAAATTACGTAGATGTTTTTTCTTTGAGGTGCGGATGTTGTAGAACATGAACGTTTTTGCATGACGTCAAAGGTGTGGTGAGGTTTTGAGATGAAATCATCAGGTTATCTTTACAGCTGTGTCCATGCTGTAGTTGCTGCTTATGCTGTGGTTGTATGCCCTCTAGAAATATGAAAAAAAAAACTTTATTAATAAAGTCATTTGCTCATTAAATTACCGTAATTTCAGTTCTTATACTGCAGAAGACAAAATGCTTTGTGTGTCAAATGAAACTGGAATAAGAATCCATGGTTATGTTAGACTTCAGACCTTCAGTAGTTGATCATTTTGGCCACTAGGGGTCACCTAAATCTCAGCAAGGTTTTCTGAAGCTTTAGACGGCTCTCTATAAATGAACCAAGAACAATTGATTGGATCCCTATAATCTATTCATTCTGTTGTTAATAGAAAATGATGGCGTTTAATACGATGATGTTGGTCCTCCTGGGTGATACATTAAAAAGGTTTAGTAAATAAACTTTGCAGTCTTTGGTGATTTTTTTCTTTTCTTTTTTGTGGCAAATATGACAGTAAAAATGCAGACAATTCTAACAACAATGCAATGCCATAGCAGTATACTGAGATTTTATCTCTACAAGAAAACAATGGCAATGGCATAATCCAGTCTCGATTAGGATGGTCTTTTTCTTTTAGGAAGGTTTTATGTGGTACAACCATAGACTGTACAATGGGCGGTTTAAAAAATAAAAATAAAAGACTTACTGGCTCTTGGTTAAACTAACGGGCAGGAGGACCACACGCACACGATGATAAGAGGTAATCCTCGGTAAACCTCATCAATGCGAGTTCTTAGTTTCATGCAACGACTTCTTTGGATCGTGATTATTCCCGCTGCTAGGGTGATAAACTTTTGCTCGCATTATATCATTATGCAGAAAAGACTCGAAGAAAGAAACAATTATGTCAGCGGTCTTTGTTGCATTCTAGTGGAAAATCCACAATTAAGGCCAATAATCCCACAATTGGAGCCTCAAATTCCCATGCAAGAGGTTATGAACTCCCAAACTAGATTAGGCCCTTATATTTACCAAGACCTACTTTGTGAAGTTTGACCACGGGTCACCGTGTGTAAACTCCGCCGACCTCGAGCTGGAGGGATGCTGCTTGTGAATGGGGGATATATACCTCTACACGGCACGTATCGCCTAATCTGTGCATCTGCCACCCAGTGCCATTTGTCGAAAAAAGTCGTCTTTAAGTCTAGTTCCAGTCATTTAACTGGAATTTATAAACTCCGATTTGGAAATAATGTTTTAAACATTTTACAGGTTTAGTCTTGCAGATCTAAATCGTATTGTTTATAGTTCTTTTCGAACATATTAGGCTACATGCAGCAAGAGTTTATATAATAGCAAAGTAAACAAAAATTACGGCCATTACGGAATGCAAAACTCGGATGTTAGGAAAACGATCATTGGATAAAGGAAAAATCTTGAATGCTTCTTTTAAGTCTTCCAGTTGCACTGTAGCCTAATGGTCTAAGACATTATTTTATATGGCTTAGCCTATAATGTGTGTATTTTACATGTGGCTTGTGTAAGAAAGAAATATTAAAACTGATAAATGCCTTTCAAATGCTTCATCGACTTTAACGTTCTTGGATGAAAACGACTATAATTGTCTGGGCTAAAATGCTGTTTTTTTTTTGTTTTTTTAAGCTTAAGCAAGTGAATTTCATGGCGGGATTCGAATGTTTCCGTCATTCAGATTTATGCTTATATAACTTTTGTTTAGATATTTTTAATAGGATTGCTGAACTAAATGTTGATTTTTAGCAATAAGTGCAATTTCGGAATTCGTTTCCTATTGGCTCACTAGTGTGTGTGTGCCTGTTTTTCTATTCTGGTGGGGACTTAAACCTGAATACACACAGACTCATGGGGACTCGTGTCACGGTGGGGACCTAAATTGAGGTCCCCACGGGTAAACAAGCTAATAAATCACACAGAATTAAGTTTTTTGAAAATCTAAAAATGCAGAAAGTTTCCTGTGAGGGGTAGGTTTAGGGGTAGGGTTGGCGTAGGGCAATAGAATATATGGTCTGTACAGTAGAAAAACCATTACGCACATGGAGAGTCCCCACAAGGATAGCAAACCAGACATGTGTGTGTGTGTGTGTGTGTGTGTACCTGTTTTTCTAATCTGGTGGGGACTTAAACCTGAATACACACAGACGCATGGGGACTCGTGTCACGGTGGGGACCTAAATTGAGGTCCCGTGTGTGTGTGTGTGTGTTTTATTGCGCTTTAATTCAAAAGCAAAATGCACATAATTACAAAAACAAAAACTGAGTAGGCTAATATTTTGTCAATAAATGCTGGCATACTAGTGGAAAGACCTAAAAATACCAGATTTTTTTTTTCTCGATAGCCTAGGTCTGCGCACCTTACAAGTTATGCATGGAGTGAAAAGAACAGCTCTGAAAGGTAATTCCTTGTATTGAAATTGATAGGCCTTGCACACTGAATGCATGATTGTGAAGCCTAGTTTGACGATATAACATAATTCAGTTGACATTTCTATTGCAATGCTCTTCGAAAAAGCTGTTCATGGGCGTCAGTTACATTTCATAACAGCTTTTCAAAAGCCATCCACGTAATTATTGCGTATCCGACACATTTTTGAAGGATGGATAAAATAAATAGTCGAATAAAGCTCAATGCGCTTTTGTCTTCTACGCATGGGCGTTGCTAGGCCATTTTTAGGGGGGCTATAGCGGCAGCGGCAGACTTCAGCGCCTCCCCGTCTTTCAGCGCGTTCTTCAATAAGCTGACCGCGGAGGCGCAGAGCGAGAAACAGAGGGCAAGGTGTGTGTTTATCGATAGATTGTTATAATATCTGCAACTGTGCAGTTCTTTGTCATAAATACAGTTTACGAAAGATGCGTTTCCTCATCACACTACAGTTGTTTCCTCCAGCAAAAATGAAACCGCATACTTTATGAAACGATGTTGCCATTTTCATTTGAAAATGTAACTTTCAATATAATACATATTACAGTACATGTGCAAAGAGGTTTGCATACTTGAGCTAAAGAAAGAGGGTTGTACTAGAAACGCAAACAGTAACATTTTGTGTTTGTGACTACAGTAAAGTGTGTGTGAGATCAGGAAGGCTTATTCAGTACTCAAATGTTATACCTATCTAAGCAATACAGTGGAATACTGCAATAAGTTTAGTAAACCATCCCTATTAGTCAAACATTTTTTTATTTATATATTTATTTTTTTATTTTATTATTACCTTCATTGGGGGCTGAGCCCCCCTAAAATGAAAATCATAGAATCGCCCCTGCTTCTACGTCACCGGCAACTTTTGAACTTTTTCTGTTTTAATTTTTACACCGAAGAAAAATCACTTTGGGGACTAAATTGATATGCTGGTATGCTGTTGATCAAGTCTTAGTGCTTTTGATAGCTTGTACAAATGAACGATCTACTAATTTCAAGAGAGTTACAGATAAATTGAAATAATACGCTATAGGCCAGGGATCCTCAAATCTGGCCCACGTGATCCACTTTCCTGCAGAGTTTAGCTCTAACCCTAATCAAACACACATGAGCATGCTAATCAATGTCTTCAGGATCATTAGAAAATCACAGGTAGGTGAGTTTGATCAGGGTTGGAGCTAAACTCTGCAGCGCATTGGCCCTCCAGGGCAAGATTTGAGGAACCCTGCTATAGGCTAACCTGTAAACATGAAAGGTATAGGGCCTAAATGGTGAGACCTGTGAATTTAACGAACTGATCATTTATTATTATTATTGTTGTTGTTTCTTGGGCTTGTATTAATATCTCGTAGGCTATTCATTTAGCCTACGTGTTTAGGTTGTAAACCCGCAAAGAGATGCAAATGTTTACGCTACACAAAGCGGGTTGATTTTGATCGTGTGAAATTAATGGCGGGATTTTAATGTTTTCGTCATACAGACAAACCTTGCCGTGAGCTTGTCAGTCTTTGTTCACGGGAGACTATAGAAATATCAATAACTGCAGGTGCTTTCATGGACCACGAAGGAAGGCTCTCAATGTCGTTGTAAGAATGACATCGAAAAATGTAGCTAGTAAATATGCACTAACAGTAAATGTCCTGTAGAGTCATTTTACGGAGAAAAAAAGTAGGCTAATTGGCATTGCTGACAAGCGAGACAATTACCATGCTCTTCATTTCTGTGAACGTCCAGGAACTGGCGGAAGGTGCATTTTGTAAAAAATACCAGTGGGTGTCGCACTATCCTTACACTTCCATGCGCAGCTCGAATTAGCACTCTGACCCCCTTCGAAGAGCAGCAGATCTGCAGTGTGTTCCATTTTTTTGTTCTTCAGATCAAAAATCATAATGTAAAATATCTAAATTGATTTTAATAGCCTGTACAGCAAATACACAAAAGTCAGACGAGGCTACTGACACAATTTCGTTTGTTCCCGTTATCTTAACAAATGTGTGCTTTATTTCTTTTCACCAAACGATTACTTCATATAAAATCGAAATGTAGTGGCTTGATAATTTGTGGACGAAAAAAAAGGAAGGTAAAGAAAAAGTCCGGGGTAGGCCTACACGGCAGCTATGTGGAGTCCAAAAGTGTAGGCTACCAAACGCGCGCTAACAAATATTTAAAATGTATCTCATAATGTAGCCAACTTCGAAGCATTTACCGCACAGAACAGCAGACGAGAAAAACTGAACAGTGATAACATTCGAAGCGGGCGAACTGAGTGACCTTAACACCACTGGCAAGAAATAGCCTCTTACGAAATGATAGCATAATTGTTAATGTAGGCTATGTCTGTCATACGCAGGAAGATCGAGAATTATTACTGGAATCAAGAAATCACTTGAATATTTGAGCAAGGATTGTGGCAGGATTATAGAAACAAAACAAGTGTAGGCTATTTGAATCCGAGAGTCCGGAGTCCACTACAGTGTATTTGCTATTAATTTATACACAAGCAAAATAGACCGTCATAATAATAATAATAATAATAATAATAATAATAATAATAATAATATAGGCCTTTATATAGCTATTCGGGTTTGTAATAATAATAATAATTATTATTATTAATTAATTAATTAAAGACTCCATAACTCTCTTCTTGTTAACACAAGAAAAAGCTAAAGGAAAGGATATTCTCTAAAACGAATTCCTGTTTTATGCAATGCAGTATGAATAATGTACACCACTTATATTGTCATGCTGCGTTCGTACGTTAAACCAATAGGCCTAGCTGTTCATTATTCATCAATTTTAACAAATATGGGGTGCTGAGAGCTATAAGCAAAATTATTCAAGTGAATAATGAACACAATAAATGTGGACCTATTTTGTAAACATGTATTTTTTCCCCCCTCATATTGCACATATGCGTTCACTGCAGTTCCATAAAACACATGAATTTTAAAATTAGCCTACATCAAATGCGAGTTTGTCTCATGGACAAATTCAGAATAATAGTTGTATTTATTTATTTTTTACTATTATATCCATCGTTAGAAATTTTGCTAATATTTCTGCAGTTTCTATTTTTTATGTGAAGCCATATGGCCGACAAAATTGCCTCCATTTGCAACCCAAATTACGTGGTGAATGTTAAGCAATTGTAGTGCTGTATGAGATTTATCTGAAAGTGAGTAGAAGTTAAAAGAATATAAAACGTCATTAAAATGTCACCGAACTACCTCACACCCCGCAAAACAGAGTTTAAAACCCAAGAGATCGCGTTGACACCTGTGCATACCTGAACTTTTGAGATGCAGTAGACTATGCACATTAGTAACCCATAATGGGATTGAACTCAGCTAATTTAATGAGTAGTTAGAGGGTAATAGACTCTTGTAGTCATACGACAAACAAACAGAGCTGAAAATATTGTCTGTCTAATAAACCTCATCCTTCTCCTGGCCAATAGAGAAAGAGAGTCTCTCATCCCAAACTAATCACAAACCCATCGGAGAAAATGAAAACGCGGAAAGACAATATAGAGGTGGGCGTTATACAGGCCCACCGAACTGCCAGAAAGTAGAACCTTCAAAAAGTTTCAATCAAAGATTGTCATTGTTGATTGTCATTTGAACTGATTGTTTCCTGACAGAATTTCATTGATTACAGTCATTTGTTTAAACTACACTCTGCATTTCTACTTTTGTAGTCGAGTAGTACAAATCAGCATGTGTAGTTATAGCCTACATCTAAACGTGCACTGATTAAGCACTGAGGTGCGAGTAAAAGCGTCGTTATGTGTGCAACACAAATTCATGCTGAAGTACCTCGAGTCTCTCAATGGGATCAGCTGCGTATGTAAATTGCTCCACAGCTCTGTTTCTGGGCGAATCCGTTCCGTTTTGCTTGAATCCGCCTCTCCGTGCTCGTTCGTATTGACGCACTTAAAGACTCTTCCCTCAACCTTAAGGCGAGCGGCAGCGACCAATCACCAAGCCATTACAGGCTTCAGAGGAAACTGTTTATGTGACTCCAGAGCTAATTAGGCTCATGAACTAACAAATCGCTAGCACAACTGGTGAGGAACCGATCACATTCATGGATTGTCTGGAGAAGTCGGCCACCTCTCTCACGATGTGTTGAGCTGTGTGCTTTTGACCATTTTTTTTTTTTACCCTTTCTTTAGTTGCCACTAACTTGCTGACAAAACTTTGGCCTTGGGTGTGGAGTATTTTTTAGTGCTAACGCGTGTACCGTTTTCGCTTAACTGGGGAATCTTGACTGGTGAACCATGTTTCAACCCACCCCGAAGAGGTGTTTTACCATAGAGTCTTTGGTAGCGAAGGATAATCCTTTGCCAGCGTCGAGATCCGAGGAGCCCATACGACCAGCGGCTCTCAGCTATGCAAACTCAAGCCAGATGCACCCATTTTTAAACGGCTTTCATTCCAGCGGCAGGGGCGTCTACTCGAACCCGGACTTGGTGTTCGCTGAGGCTGTTTCACATCCTCCCAACTCCGCCGTCCCAGTCCATTCAGTACCTCCTCCTCATGCTTTGGCTGCTCACCCACTGTCGTCCTCGCACAGTCCGCACCCTCTTTTCGCAAGCCAGCAAAGGGACCCTTCAACTTTTTATCCATGGTTGATACATAGATATAGATACTTGGGTCACAGATTTCAAGGTAAGTTCCAGGAAAATATTTTATTCGCCAGTTATTTTGACCAGTCGTTCAGAGAAAAAAGGGCCAAACGGCCCAAGGACACGGCAGTTTAATTGATAATTAGCTAAATGTCACTTTTGTGCTAGATATTAAAATGCTGAAATTAATGCTATCGAAAAAAGTTTATAACCATTTTATTGTATCGAAAACTATAGACTTTTGCTGTGAAGTAGGGTAGGCTACTGACATTAGCCTATACAACGGTTATCAGTAAATTGCTGGAAGAAAAGAACCTGGCGTTATTCCATATATATACACTAAGCTGGTTTAAAAATCATAAGTAAAGTATTTGTAACTTTTGTATTTTATGTTTTATAAATTTAAATTAATTATTTTAATAGGTTTAAATATTTATTTAGCGTGAACGGGTTACATCGCCTTTTAAAAGAATTAGCCTAATAGGCTAGCCTAATAAAACCCATCGATTGTAGTGTAACTTTTTATCGATTGTAAAAAAAAAAACTTTTATTACAAATAATACGCATTTACATTACCAGGAAAAAACCTTAAGAGCAACGAAATAATTTAATAATCAAACGGACGTTTAATTGTCGTTCGACTGTTTTTTTTCCTCGTAAATTTCTCGAATTTCGCCTTTATCTAAAAGTGCATTTGCCTGGGTCCTTAATGTTGTAAAATTGACCTTTCATTTCCCTTAAAAACTAACGCTAATATTCATAAACGTTAATAAGTGTAATATAATCGTTTTATTACATACACCGTAGCTAAATTACACAAATGTTATAGCAAAAATCTGTCTTTTTTTTTTTTTTTTAACTTTTATAATATTCAGTATGGGAAAATATTTGTCATGCCAATTTCTAATCGAAGCACATAATGAAAACCTTTACCATGGCAAAGATACTCAAAGCCATTGAATTAATTCGAGGATATTATAAAATAAAAAGAGCCGTGCTGTATCTCCGTGTGTTTGATTTACAAATTTAGGAAAAATAATATTGTAGGCATCATATTTTGAATGATCACATGTAAATTAACCTTATTTTGTCTCACATTTGAATTTGCAACAAAAGTTGAATTAGCTAGCTACTGAAAACATTATCGCTATAGTAACTTGTGCCAGAGAACGTGAAAGATGAAAAAAAGAAGAAGAAAAAAAACTTTCAACATGTATAGGCCTATTTCTATTTAAGAAGACCGGTTAATTGTGGTATTTTGTAGATTATAGTTTTAGTAAGATGTTGCATGCTTATATAATGTTTTTAAACTTCAGGCCCTATAGCCCGCAATTAATTCGTGTGAACAAATTGAACGTAGTCTAACAATTATGTTTAGAAAGGATACTAATATTATAGTAGACGATGGGTTTTAATTATCACCAGTTTCATTACAGGAAACGAAACGAGTCCGGAAAGCTTCCTATTGCACAATGCACTGGCAAGAAAGCCCAAAAGGATTCGCACAGCTTTTTCACCATCACAGCTACTTCGGCTTGAACATGCTTTCGAAAAAAATCATTACGTAGTCGGTGCGGAACGAAAACAGCTCGCTCACAGCCTTGGCCTCACAGAAACTCAGGTAAGAAGTTGTTTATCTGTCTTCATTAGCGTGAACAGCCATACGTGAATGTGCGTATGGTTCTATGGATATAATACGGCCTAAATAATGCTATTGAAATCAATAGGCTCGTTCTCTTATGGTTAGACTGTACGCTAAATGTTAACATAGCCTATAGGCAGTGTTTGCGTAACAAAAATGTAGTTCTGAATGATTCAATAAACAATAAAAGCTTTTAAAATTTAGATTCTTTATGTAAATATTTTCTAACGTTTAATCGTTCTCTTTGACAGCATATTTGCATGTAGGCTATGTAGTCGCAATCAGTATTGGCGTTAGTAATAAGTGGCATATGTATATATTTCTTATTTGCACAGATGTGGCAACATTTTGATTTCAAGCTGATCATAACAGAACATTTTCTTGTTTAGCGTTTGGTTTTGTTGGGAATCACACGCGTAAAAGGCTAAGCATTGTTCTAAAAGCGTAATGGTTTGAAGTGAGTTAAATCCACCATTTCCAATTCACCCCGGTTTTTGGTGAGATTGAACGATTCCGTTTTGGGCAGAGGGCTCTTGTGGAAAATGTTTGGCAATTAACCAGTTAACCGTTTTAAATGGACACTTAAAAGAATGAGGCGGAATCAGTGAATTTCCCTAACCATATTTAAGATCGTATTTGCGCGTATCGTTCAGTGGCCTGGTCGGAGTCTATTGTCCCGGTGACAGCACCGGCCCTTTTCTAAACGCCGCCTTTCAGAAGAGCAAGAGAGAGAAATGGACTACGAGCCACTTCAATGCTTCTATTAGCTCTCTGAAAGAACATTACATGTGCCTCACTTGCCAAGTTGTCAGCTGTGAGCTTTACGGATGATATGAATGATAAAGGTGATGAATTAGCTAAAGACTGAACCTTACCGATGTGTGCTAATAGAAAAGGTTTTATTTACGTGAATGTAATAAGGGGGTGAATTGTAAATAGGCCATCTAACATACTGATCCGTGATAATAAGCGACAATGTCGGTGAAGTTACACTGGTATCAAACTATTATACACTCACATGCTGCTTCTATTGTACTGAGTCAATGTCCGCTCAACAGTTCAGTTTGAGTTTGAAGCAGCAGCAGGGCATGATAGTGATGATGCAACCTGTCGTTCGTAAACGGGTCAGGTGCACTTTAAATGGAAAGCCACGCCAGCCAGTCTCCCCTTCCCTAATTTCATCCTCACTTATCAGTAATATGTATTTAATACCTCATTTAAATTCTTTGTTGTTTTAATTTATGCAGACCGAAGACACTAAATGAAAGTCGACCAGTGGTCTCGCGACTAGATTGATTGTGAGATACCTGGCGGTTCTTTGTCCGTCTAGCCATTTATTCTTAAGGCCCGTTAGTGATACCTTCCGTCAGGCCAACTCTCTTTGTTTAATTGTTTTATTCAGAGGCCAACGAAAAGCCTTTGTGTATTTTACGCTGATTATTTTCATTTTTCCTCGCCACAGGTTAAAGTTTGGTTTCAGAATAGAAGGACGAAGTTCAAGCGCCAGAAACTGGAGGAGGAAGGTTCGGATTCACAACAGAAAAAGAAAGGAACTCATCACATAAACCGATGGAGAGTGGCCACAAAACAAGGAAGCCCTGAGGAAATTGACGTCACCTCAGACGATTAAAAGACTTAAACTGTTTGAACCCGGGACAGCGGCGTGGCTTGAAGTATGTCACGGATAAGGATGCTGTGTACTGACAGA